CCTGGAGGGAACAGGAGTTCTACAAGGAGAGCAACAGAATTAACTAACCAACCAAACAACCAAACAACCAAACAAACAAACAAAAAAAACCAAAAAACTGGGCGCAGGGGTCTTTTCTGAGACTGATACTCCAACCAAGGACCATGCATGAATATAACCTACAACCCCTTCACAGATGTAGCCCATGGCAGCACAGTGGCCAAGTGGGTTCCCTAGTAATGGGAACAGGGACTGTCTCTGACATGAACTTAGTGGCTGGCTCTTTTATCACCTTCCCCTGAAGCGGGGAGGGCAGCCTTATCAGGCCACAGAGGAAGACAAAGCAGCCAGTCCAGATGAGACCTGATAGGCTAGAATCAGAGGGAAGGGGAGAAGAACCTCCTCTATCAGTGGGCTGAGGGAAGGGAATGGGAGGAGAAGAGGGAGAAAGGATGGGGTTGAGAGGGGAGGAGAGAGGGGGCTTCAGCTGGGAGTATATACTCTTGAGTTTGGGTGAAAAGTTCTGTAGACATCTACTAGGTACATTTGATTTAAGACCTCTGTAAGTGAATAACTTGTAATGAATAAAACAATTAAAAAGACTGATTTTTCTAGGACCACATCTAAGTTTGAAGGAAAAAAGTTACTATTTTAACACACTAATTTTAAATACTTTTCATAAATAATATATACTTCAATGCATAGATAGTACATAAGATTCTTATAAATTCAAGAGATGTGTATGAAATTAATTGCATTTGCTATCCTTCATGTAGCCTGCATTATGTTACAGTGATTGATAGACAATTGAATATGTATCCTATAGGAAAGAGTTGACTTAACTCATTCTTCATTTGCATTTATCAAAGTACAGCTAGTATCTACTACCAGAAAGTTCTCCTTAGCAACTAGCTTTGTTGAAACCAGTATAAAAATTGGCTTTTAAATCTTTTCTCATGGGGTATATATTGTTTGGCCAGCAGTCTGTCCTTCTGCATCACCTAATATTACCCTTTCTTGGTCTCCTTTCTAACTGTCAATCTATTCCCACACTTAATAGCAGTTTAGGTGTGAACATGTATACATTACAAGCTGGGATCCATATATGAGAAATAATATGTGGATTTTTATCTTTCTGGCTTTGGGTGACCTCACTTAATAGCATATATTCTATTTATTGATTTTTCTGTAATTTTCATGACTTAATTTTTTTTACATCTGAATAATATTCCATTTTGTATATATAATAATTTTCCTATCTATTTATCGGTTGATGGACATATTGGTTCCATTTTTGTGCTATTGTAGATAGAGCAGCCATTAAACATGGATGTTGTGACTATCGCTACGGTGTGATATGGAGTTCTCTAGGCATTTGCCCAAGAGTAGAGAAGCTGGGTTACAGGGTAGTTCTACTTTTAACATTATGAGGGTCCTCCAAACTGACTGCCTTAATGGCTGCATTTGTTTCACTCTCACCAGCAGTGAATGAGGCTCCTCTTACCCCTTGATGTCTTTCCCAACACTTGATAGCTACTTTGATTGGGGCGAGGTAGTCCCCCAAAGCAGTTCCAGTTTCAACATTTCTCTATTGTTTCAGAAAAATATAGTTACAGTAAAAGGGTAAAACCTCAAGTGAAGATCCATAGCATAAGAACAGCCATTTTAACTGTATAGATAAATTCACTGTAAAACATGAAGTTGGAGCCGGCCATGTGTTTACTTAGTGGCTACCTTCTAGCTTTGTGATGGCTTCATGAGTAAGTTTATTACAATAAAATGATTTAATAGGATGAAAGAAAAAAAATGACTGATGGTATCTTTGTTCTGTTTCTCGTGTGCTCTTCATTAGCTGTATGCTTTTTTTCTCTTTAGGAATCAATACTATGAATCACAGTTATCTTTTACTAATTAATTAATTATAGAAAGAAAACAGGTAATTCCATAGTGGATTTTTTTTTCTTTTTCTTTTCCATTTTCTTTTTGTTTTTCAAGACAGGTTTTCTTTGTGCAGCCTTGGCTGTCCTGGAACTCTCTCTGTAGACGAGGTTGGCCTAGGACTCAGAAATCCAGCTGCCTCTACCTTCTGAGTGCTGGGATTAAAGGCATACAACACAAACGCCCAGCTTCCATAGTGAATATTATGCAAGGGAGAGAATAGCTAGAAAAAAGACTGTTCTCAAAACCAGGCAAACTTCTAGTTTCCAGTTCCTGTTGAGGGTTACAGAAGACAGCAGGCCCCGCTCCCTGCCATCTCACAGTGATTTCATCTCCCTGCTGTGTGGGTTGGCAATAGGAGCTCTTAAAATGTTTTCATCTTAACTAGGGGTTTCCCTTTGGGGTTAAGCTCCTCTCCCTTCAGAGTGATGTAACATAACTCTGGTGACTGAGCACTGGGTTTATCACTTCATTTCTTGCTTACTCATCACTGTCTGTTCTGTTCCCTTTCATGGCTCACCACGCCTGCTTGCCTATGCAGTGCATCCCAAGAAAGCTTGCAGAAATGCTGAGCAACTGGCCTGGGCACCATTTTGAAGAATACAGGGACGCTGCCACACACACGTGGCCTCTAGGAGATGCATGGTTATTGCAACTCACTACTGTATTGTTCCTCGAGGAATTCAACTTTGGGATTTCAGAAGCTGGACTCACAAAAAGAAGGAGAGCTGCCCAAGCACACCCTTTGGCACACCCTCTGGTCCTTAATTGCCCATTTAGAACACCATACTTGAAAATGGCTCGGAAGCAAATGGCTGCCATCCAGGACTCTACATTAAAAATCCATCCCTTACTGAGAGTTTGACTTTGTAGTTTAAAAGAAAAAGTGATAAACAGGAGGAGGCTATTCCAGGTGCGGAAGACTGAAAACTGTTTCCCATCAATTATCATGGTAGTTCAGAGCATAAAAGGCTTAGTGGTTCAGGGGAATTTAAGCATCTACCACTGAGGATCATCAGAACCCAGGCTTTTACTCTGAGTGAAAAAAAAAATTTTTGGCTTAGCAACGGGAAGAAGAAAAAAACAAACTGTTCTATTCTAATTCTTCTCTGAACACAGCTGGAATGACAAGTGAAGATGGCTATTCTGAGTGTATTTTAATAATAAGTGCTGATTACCATTACAAGAACCATAGTAACACTGAAGAACATTGACCAAAGAAAATATATAACTGTGGCTGTCCTGTCCCTACACTCCAGAGCAAAATTGTCCAATTATAATGCTGCTTTTAACTTTCATTAGCCATTAAAATTTGTCAAAATATAACTTGTCAAATTCTTGACTCCATGCTGGCCAGTTTTTGGCACCTTACACAAACAAGCATCGCTTGATAACAAAGAATCTCAACTGAAGAACTGTCTTTATCAGATTGTCTTTGGGCACATCTGTGAGGCATTGTCTTGGTTAATAATTGATGAGCAAGGGTACAGCCCATTGTAGATGGTGCCACCCCAGGCAGGTGGTCCTGGGCCAAGGAGTCGAGAGGGAGGAGGCTGGGAGGGGTTAGAGGAAGGAGAGAGGGGAGAACTTAATGTAACTATGTAATAATAATAATAATAATAATAATAATAATAATAATAATAATAGTCAAAAGAAAGCAAGATGAGCAAGCCATGAAAAGCAAGCCAATGAGCAGCATTCACCTATAGCCTCTGCTTTGTTCCTGCCTCCAGGTTTCTCCTAGAGTTCTTCATCTAACTTTCTCCCACTGCAGACTTTAGACCTGTTAATCCCACAAGATTCTTTCTTTCCTAAGTTACTTTTGGTCCCAGTGTTTATTCTAGCCGCAGAAAGCCAAACTAGGGCAGGATCCCTAGTGGGGGAAAAAAAAATCAGAAAAGCAGGAAGACTTGTCTGTCTTCTGGACTTGATTTTTATAACCCAAATTGGCAACAATCAGAACCTCACAGGCACATTCTGGACGTTCTTGTCCGTAATAGCAGCAACCGTTATAGTAACTCCAGCCCGCGTGAACGGGAAGTATAGCGCAGATGCAGGGGAACACACACCTTAGTCCTGAGACCTTTTCTAAGACTTCAGCAGAGGCCATCTTTCCAAGTATCAAAGGCAGACAGCCCCACAGCAGCACAAACAAACATCAAGAATAGCTCAGGGTTACTTGAGTTTTTGTGGAAGGGATTCCTCCTGACCGCGGGTGGCAACAGTAACTGTTTACCAAACTCAACTCAGTGTTGGGGAGTTCCTAACACACTGTACTGGCACCTCCTATCAGGGACGCCCTCCTGCTCAGCAGAAAGAGCAGGAGTGACTCACAAACACCACGCATGACTACCCAAGGTTGGAATGCAGCCACCTCAGCCGCCGGGATATATTTCCTTTCTTACTTTTCCTATTTGCAATAAGTCAGTTTGTAAACTCCCGTTTCAAACAAATGCAAAATAGAGTTATGTTTTCATGTTGTTTGTGCCATGTTCATAACACGTGCTTAACAGATGAGCTGGGACGAAGAAGTGTTCTTTCTCATGTCTCATAACGTGTATCTATTTATCTAGTGAAATAAGCCACATGAAATGTATATAATGTAAAATAAGCTATACAAAACATCCAACCCATTATCCCTATAATTTAAGTAGGTACTTACAATTATGGAATCACAGAATTACTACCACTGCCTTTATTTTATGTACATAATAGATATTCCAGTTTCTTTTTCTGTGTTTACTTTTAAGTTAATTTAATTGCAGCATAATTAGTAGGCACTGATCAGAACTAAGAAAGGAGGTAAAAATCAAAGACAATCGGGGGGGCAAAAAAGTGACTTACGGCTGCCCATGACATGAATGTGTTGAACATTGACTCACTACAGAGTTTTCTATGAGGCGATTTGCGGATTGTCAAGCACTCTCTGACACACCTGTGCGCAGGAGTCTGCCTCTGCTTAGAGCAACAATAGTTAATAATGAGAGGTAGAAGCGAGGAGAAGAGATCTTAGGCTAGGAGGAGACGTGAGGTGGGGGGTGGGGAGAAAGGCTTTGAAAATCATTTAAAGAAACTTCACCTACCAGCTCTACTCGTCCGAAACCTCCAACTCCAAGGGTGTCGATGATGTTGAAATCAGACAGCTTCAGGTTGGCGAAGAAGGCAGCTTCGGCTTCATATCTGGATTTTTTGATGTGAAAAAATGGAAATTTCTTAGATGTGCAAACACGAGTACCATGTATGGGTGTACTGGAATGGTGGGACTGTGGCACGGGCTTTACCCGCTTCAGTTCCATTTTGCTTTTAGAATCTGTGTTTTCTCACACTCATACTTTTTTGGTCCCGGCTGTACAGAACAACAAAGACTTTCACTTGCTTTTCAAAAGAGAAGAATACAGAGTAGCCACTGCATGCCAGTCAAGTGACTGATAAAGTCCAGTTATCAAATCAGTCACATCTTGGTGGTTTTCCTACGCGTCTTCTTGTGAGTGGGGATTGTTTGAGTTGCTCTCTTTCGGATTTGTTTTGGGTCTGGGGGCTTTGCTGGGTTTTGGTTTTGCCGCTCAGGTTTTAGATGGCAGTTTCTCATTAGGTTCCCTTAGCCACAGATTGCCAGTATCTTCTCTCAGTATTTATCGAGAGTTGCAGGATCCAGACACAAGTGGGGTTGTCTCTGGAGTGAAATCACAGCCAGGTTTCAGAGAAAACAGATCCAAAAAGCTAAGCACTGAAGTGCAAATGTCTGCAGTGGATGATCCCAGAAGTATAGTCACATCCCTAAGAAAGGCTTTCCCTCCGCTCACATCTATTCACTGACTCTCAGCTGGCCAGCCCAGTGTCTTTTAGGTTTGCAAGTTTCTTATATGAGTGGCAAGAAGCATGGACTAGCATCCAACTCTAACTGCACACGTGTCAATCTGACACAGGCAAGAGGCCAAAATGTGCTTCTACCCAATGAGGAGACTGAGTAGGACTCGCTTAAAATAGCTCCTGGTTAAAGGCCCTGCTATTTTTAGAAAGGGCAGGAAGGCTTAAAGTAAAGATGATCAACCCTCTGACTAAAGCCAGATCAGGAGTGCATTCAGCTGTCTCAAAACTGAAGTGTTAAAATCACTATGTATGACCCTTGACCTTCAGGCCAAACTCTGTACAGATGTGAAGACTATACTCGAGGAAACAGTACATACATAGCTTATGCGATGATTATATTTAATACAATCCTTGAACCTTTTGTGCTAACGCTCTAAGGCATTTTTATTATAATCAAACACACCTTCAAACCGTATACTATAAAACACATAAAATAGCTTCTTAGACAAGCTTTCAACTCTTTTCAGTTTACAATTACAATTATACCTTTTCAACAGGTCCCTCGTTGACCGACAACTCAGAGTGGATGAAAACAAGCAGAAAAGCACTCAGCTTTATTTGCTTATTGTGTAAATTTAAATACGTTGACCAAACCTTTATAAGTAAAGCTGATGAATCTAAGAGTGTTTACAGATTTGTCTCGTTGACTACACAATTCAAAGGTCACCAGAGTAATCCAGGACCTGATGAGCTAGAATGGAACATGAGCAAATGGGCATTTCTGACATTCCAATTGCTGTCTGCTTTTGGAAAGTTAAAACTCCATCCCATTTAATGCAGTGGAGTTGAATCCAACAGGTGCCTAAAAAGACATCTGTTGAGCTCTGACTCCTGGGGGTTTAAATGTACCCAAGTATTTCCTGGACATCTAGATAAACACATCACTAATAGCATTGCTTTAGTTTTTGATTTTTGTTTTTCAAACAAACAAACAAAAAACCAAAAAAAGCAAAAACAAACAAACTTTTTTTTTTAATGTGGAGTTTTCAAAACATTTTAAACCTTCATACTCATGCTATTATATCAGTCTCATAAAACCAACATGGAAAAAGACCTGAAAGGAAAAACTTAAATAAACAATGGCTGGTTCTGACTTCTCATCCAGGTGCTGAATTTTTAAGACAACACATCAATTGCTGGTTCATTAATTAATATTTCTCCTGGTTCCCTTTTGCTCTGTTTTGCTTTGTCTGTTTTTTTCTTTAACTATTATTGTTATTATTAATTTATTTTCTTTGTATCCTGGCTGTAGCCCTTTTTACATAGACCAGGCTGGCTTTAAACTCATGATCCTTCTAAGTTAGCTTCTTCAGAACCTGGATTACACATGTGCACTACCAGATCTGCATAATTGATATTTTTATTAATTCAAAATAGTATGATCTGAGATAGAACTCTTTAATAAAATGCCATGTCAGTACCAACAATCCTCATGCATTCATAAGGAACACTTTTGTATAGCAATGTGTTTGCTGGATGCACAGATCTCAGGTGCAAAAAGAGCTCACTCATACTCTCTTATATACTGAATCACTCTCTTATGGTCTGTTTAATTTATGATATCATTACCTAAGCCCTTGGATACAACCCTGACATTCAGTTTGGCCTTTTCCAATTAGATTGAAAGTGCATCAAAATTAGTGGAGTGATTCCTGGCTTTGGCAGAACATCAAAGCTACCTGGGCTCTTTTAAAACAACTCTGGGCCTCAAAGCACACAAGTGAAACAGTTATTTCTAGTGCTGGTATCAAAAGTCTCAAAAGCGAGAAAGTCCCAGAGATTCTGCTACACGGTCAGAGCCAAGCCCCACCCTTCTGAAGGTCCAGCACATTCCGGCAGTGGCTCCTGATCCAGAGTGCAGATGAAACTGGACCAGAAGGAGAAGCTGCTCCCCAAGAAGGTTTGAGCCGCCTTCATTTTTGGTCCTTCACCATCAGGTGAATAGTGGTTCTATAGTGGGTAACAGCTTAAAATCCCCAAGGAAAAGAATGTATATATCCCCCCTGTTGTAGACAATAAAGAAAGGGGGTGGGTTTGACTATGCTGCTCATGGCCTGGGACATCCGCATTTCTTTCACCCCTGCATCTACCTCTCCTGTTTCCACGGCCACTCATTGGTGCTGTGCTAGGCCCACATTTCTCTAGGAAACAGCTAATAATATCTCTATTTCCGGTTCTTCCATTATTAACAACAAAGTCTAGGGGTTCTTCTCCAGCCACCACACTATGTCTCTGGTTCTCACAAAGTATCTGGGAATCAGTTACTTCCTAATTGTTAATTAAAAGAATTGGATGTTGTAATTTAGGAGTTATTATTATTAAATAGTCAGCATGTTTCCCTGGGTCTCATCAACTGGATGAGTGACTCATCCAGAACCAAACTTATGGGACTTACCATTATAGCTCTACCTTGATTATTATAATAAGAATATTTCTACACCATTTGATAAAGCAGACAGTATTATGTATACTTTTGAGCAAAGGTGAAGTGACCAAAACATGGCAAGATGAGAAATTAAGAACCATTTGAACAAAGCAAATGTGGCCCTGTTTGTTTTCGTTCACCTTATCTACCATAAAAATTAACTTCACAAATCTGAGCCTTCAAAGAAAAAAATGAAAAATCGCAGAATCTCCTGATTCACATACAAATGACATTTTCTGGCTTTGCTTGAACTCACCTGCGCTTGCGTGCACTTGTATTGCCACTGAGTTTAGGTTTATCAGTTCTTGGGGGAATATATATATATATATTATGAATTGGTTGCTAGTTCAAGTCAGAATCCAGGTTCTAAAGGCATAATAGAATGTCTAGAAATTATCTGCCAGGTAAATGTCTAGAAATTATCTGCCTTCACCTTGTATTTGATGAGAGGTCATTGGAATCTACAGGTACATTTTATAGAAATAGATTAAAAAAGGAGTGAGAGATTTCAGAAATGTGATTTATATGCAAAAGACACAGTCCTGTTCTATGATAAATACAAACTACAACATTGACCCTATACTAAATAAAGACCTACTTGTATACAAAATATGTTGTAGAATAGTAGTTTCTGATTTAGTAGAGCTTGGTGTGTTGAATAATTTGTGTGGCCAAGTAAATTCAAATGTAGTAAAAAATATATTGAACTATATTCATGGCAGCTTTATTTGTAATAGCCAGAAACTGGAAACAATCTACAGGTCCCTCAACTGAAGAATGGCTAAAGAAAATGTGGTACATTTACACAATGGAATACTATTCAGATCTAAGAGAAAACAAACAAAAATCATGCAGTTTACAGGTAAATGGATGAAACTGGAAAAGATTATCCGAGGGAGGTAGCCCAGACCCAGAAAGCCATGCATGGTGTAGTCACTTACAAGTATTTTTATATTAGCCATAAACTACAGGATGACCATGCTACAAACCACAGACCCAAAGAAGCCAAGGAGGGCTCAAGTGAAAGTGCTGACTATCATTCAGAGCAGGAAATAAATAGATATGTGAAGTAGATAAAGGGAGGGAACTGGATGGGAGAGGGGCTGGGGAGGCTAACAGGGGTGGAGATCAATCAGCTCCTTGTACAGTTAACTGTGTGGAGAGCAGGGTTGGGAGTTGGGGGAGGATCTAGAGAGAGAACAAAAATTTGTGTGGGAGGGTATCTCTGGGACATAGGACACGGGAGGATCCCAGGAGTCCATGAGGATGACCCTAGCAGAGACATCTAGCAGCGGGAGTGGAGAAGCCTGAAGTGTAGTCAGAAGCCTCCTGTAGTCAGATGGGGCTTCCAGTGGAAAAGGGGGGACACCAATGGACCCACAAAACCTTAGACTGCAAATTTATCTTGCCTACAAGAAGTGTAGGGGTAAAGATGGAACAGAGATTGAGGGAATGGCAACCCCATGACTGGCCCAATTTGAGATCCACCCCGTGGGTGAGAGCCAACTCTTGTCACTATTAATGATAACCTGCTAGGCTTGTAGACAGGAGCCTAGCATAGCTGAATTCTGAGAAGCTTCATCCAGCAGCTGATGGAAACAGATGCAGAGACCCATAGCCAAACAATAGGCTGGGCTTGGGGATGTTCTGTGCAAGAGTGGGAGGGAGGATAGAGGAGCAGGAGGGGTCAGGGACGCCACAAGAAGACCTACAGAGCAAACTAACTTGGGCCCATGGCCCCGCCCAGAGACTGAAGAGCTTGCATGCGCAGAACCTAGAACTCCTACACGTATGCAGCCTCTGTGCCACGTGCCAGCATGTTGGTCCTCCAACAATGGGAGTAGGGGCTGTCTCTGGCTCTGTTGCCTGCCACTTGATCCCTTCC